CCTAAGCTAATTCCTTGATTTCGACTGCATGCGGTTATTTTTGTCATGTATAGTTAACATACGAGCTAGCTGGAACATAGGAGCTAGGTTTCCAGCCAAAAGATCCGGCTTTCTAACCAAAACTTGCTAGGCACCCTCCTCAGACGGAACTCCATTTCATCCCCTGATTAGTGGTTTCCGAAATTTTGTGTTGTACAATGATTCACACAGGATCAGTATGAGATATCGGTTGTTCTCTGTGTATTGTTCTCTGCTGGTCTGATTTGCTGAGATTTTCGTGTTCTGTGTGAGTGCATCGTGTGTGTACATGTATGTAAGTCTGTGTGTGATGCCTTGTGTTTTCTCTCACAAGAGGGATAAATCAAAAATTAGAAACTACAAGGATAAGACTTTTGAAAATCTGGAAAGTCAAGGACATCATCATAAGGAAAAGAAAATATCCCAATATGGGAACATAAATATCGCGCGGGATCTGTATAGTTGAAATTTTGAAAAGTCAAGGACGAACAGGGACATAAGTAGAATCTGGTAATGCATGACGAGGTTTTGTTAGCATCTTGAACACGGTCAGCAATAGCCCAGTAGGTCGACAGAGAGACTTTGCAGGTGGCRTAGTACAAAGACAGGCAGTGGTGCGAGTGGTACCACAGCCTATGTGAAGGCTAGGAGGTCAACTTGTAAAGAATAATATTCAGTGGTATGTTACCCTCCAGTCAGGCGGAGGAAGTAAGCCTTCGCTATGGAAATGGAGTAAAGGGAGGCCATAGAAGGAGACTTTGCTACCTATGGAGGAGTAGGAGGAGAAAGTAAGCCTTCGCTATGCAACTGGAGTAAAGAGCTCAATCTCAGGGTATGAAGTCGGGTGGGAGAAAAGTGTAGAGGTATCAAAGAACGAAGGTTTTTTTTTATACGAAAGCACATGAGAGATTTACCCTTGTCCGTTAAGTTCCATGTCATTTCCCATCTCTGCTAAATGGTGTCACGAAATGTTCCATGCCATTTACTAGTTAAGAAAAGAGTACAAAAGAATGATTAATGCATACCATATTTTATGTGTATCGAACAAGTGCCTGCCTACATTCCAGATCGTGTGAGAAGGTTTCCAAAGGCGGATGATGCAATTGAATATCAAAAGGTTTTGGATAAGTCGTTGTGTGCAATTATTTTGGCATACGAATTGCAGAAGGGGAAGTCGGCATTTGAATACATTGTGACACCTTTGGAGCAGTTTCTTACAAGCTACATGAAGATGGAGAGGGACAGTAGACGCTATTACGAACTCATTCCTCCAGTGAGTGCACATGTGGTCATTAGATTTTATCTGAACCTTCTTCCCTGGATTCACGCCATTTGCAGCTTTGTATTAGTGATATTCTTACAAATATGCTACTATGGACTCTCTGCTGATTTTTAGCTTTACTTGTCTGGTGTTATCTTTGGAAAACTGTCTTCTGCAGGATACCAGATGCCATCTTTATTTTGACCTGGAGTTAGACACGTAGCGCAATCTTCAGAAAGATGGCAACAAGATGGTTGAAACGTTGTTGGCAGTTGTTGGTATGATGCTAACTTCTGAATTTGCTGGAGTTCATGGGCTGCAAGAGGCATGGATTCTAGAAACTGATTCGTCTCGAAGAGGTAAGGGACAATTGTTTTTGGGGGGGGGGGCAAGATGTTGAGAAGTTGCACTGATACACTTCCACGGCCTATCAATAAGCCTCTTTGTCCGGGTTTCTATCCATCTACCTGTCTACGGCCTATCAATAAGCCCAGTACTCCACCTCCAACAACCATAAGAGTTGCTCCCACGCTTGCTACATGGGTAAATTCCTACATCTTATTTTCCATATCGTGCAAAGTGTCAAGGGTTGTAACCTCTGAAAGAGTCTGCACTGATACACTTTCAGATTTGAGTAATGTTGTCAAAGCTCATAGGAACCTGAAGTTCTCCTCTTGGGAGGGATACATCTGTGAGGGCATGTCATCGAGTCGCCACCTTGTCCCAGTTCTGTTGGCCCATGGAGCATATATTGCCCACTCTCACACATAGCATACAAGTCATTTTGTTGGGTTCTGCATTACAGGTTCCTGTGTTTACTCAACGAGCAGCTAACCTGGAGGGCAACGCAGACTATGAGTCATTGCATACTTCTAATGCATGTATTTCTGACCGCAAGGACCGAGTTCCAGGGAATGTCTAAGCTCATGTCTGTGTGCCTTGTGCAGATTGACTTATTTAAATGTAAACGAGAAATTTTAAGCAAATGATGAGTTGAACATTATATCTCTTGTTTGCTGCACCAATCGTTGGGAAACCTTGGAAAGTTTTATTTCATTGGATTTGAACTTAATACATAATGTATTGAGTGCATTTCACACTTGTCTTCCCCGTTCATTGTTTTTGCAGAGAAATTTTCAAGACACCTACTTGTGAAGATCCCTTGTGTACAGTTTGCTAATAATCGCATGGTTTTTGATTTTTTCAAGAAGGTGAGTTTATTTTTTTCAAATATGTTACCATGTGGGAGTGACATTTACAATCACCTTGGTTGATATCCGGCACAAAAACGTTCACTTGAAGTATGAATTATGACTGGGTATGTGAGATAGGTTCATTGAGTTTCAGAGTCTGTTAGAATGACCCTCAATCCTACAGAATAAAATATAATCAGTGACCTTTTGTACGCAGACCCCTACAGAATGACCCCCAGCGTCTCAGTCAAAGACCTTTTGTACGCAGACGCCTTCATAGTATAGACATGGGGTATAACTAAAGGTGCAAAGTCTAAGGGTTGTAGCTATTGATCGAACAAAGTTTTGGGATCAACAGTTGATTCTTTTGACCCCGACAGGTTAGCCCTACAGACTCTGGCAAGTATCAAAAAGTCCATACAGAGATCGCTACGGGTTGTAACCTTTGGCCATGTTGCAGTTCTAGTGTGCAAAAATTTAGCTAACTGACTCCGAAGTGGTTAGGACACCATTTGGAAATGCGCATTGCGGTCTGAGGTTGTGGGTTCAAAACCTCTGCAGGACACCGGGGGGCGTTTACGTAACGCAGTTGTCTGCACACTCCCT